TAGTTAAATTAATTAATTAAAATTAAAGTTACATACTCTCGAGACCAGTTTTTGCTGCACTTAGAAGAACCCATTACGAAATGCGCAACGCTCAGTCGCAAATAATTATTTATACCTTGATTATTAACTAATCAGAATAGATAATATTATGGTAATTTTGTCTCATGGTGGTGGGGCGGAGAATATTTGAGACGCTCTACTCCAGTTGCCCCTCCCCATTCTATGGCCCGGCATGGCCAGGTGGTTAGGGCGCTCGGCTCGCAATCTGAGGGTCGTGGGTTCGAATCTCCGTCTCACCAAAGATGCTCGCCCTTTCAGCCGAGCGGGCGATAAAATGTGACGGTCAGTCCCACTATTCGTTGTAAAAGAATAGCCGAAGAGTTGACGGTGGGTGGTGATGACTAGCTGTCTTCCCTCTAGTCTTACACTGTTAAATTAGGGACGGCTAGCGCAGATAGCCCTCGTGTGACTTTGCGCGAAATTCATAACAAACCCCTCCCCCCGCCTTGGATTCTGTGTACATTTCTGAAGAGAAGTGTGGGCACCTCCAATGTGAAAACATACTAATTAATACGATATGCTCTGATTTTTCATATTTTGCTTAAACAGATTTTGTCTCGGGATGTACACCAGTAATTCACAACCTTGTAAAGTAATGTTAACATGCTTGAATGTGTAATTAGGCCAATTAAAGGCGCAGAATTGAGGGTTAAGATATTGCATAAACGCACTTTTTAAATTCTAGCCCTTATAGGACAGTTTAGATCTTCGCTTAAACACCAATTAGCAGCTGCACACACAGGTCGTGTGTATGTGTGTTTATTATATATATATATATATTTATAATTACATTGTAAACGCACAGCTAAAATTACACAATACGCACACTGTAAAATTTACATAAAATATATGAGAAAAGCACAGTTTCACAGTCCAAATTGCTCACAACACATGAAGTGTTTACATTTTTCGAAGCACAACATACACAGCTTTCGTACAGCAGTTTAACCTTTTATTAAACACAAGGCATGCTCAGTTCAATTGACTCGAGATATAAACATACAGATCACAAGGTCCTAGAGGCATAACACTTATAGAGTTTAAGCTACTTCATTTGCAACACACATGAAAAACAACGACGAATAACATGTTTTACTCACCTATAGATTGAACCGATTCTTTGACAGCACTGTTAATCTCGTCATACGTTATGCAGATCTCACCTCGGCGTCCTGATGTCATTCTTTTCAAACTGTAACTACAGGCAGATACGGTCACCATCTGTTTGTTACCCACTCCCTTCAGCTCGTTCATTTACCAGTTAGTTATTGTAATAAAATAGTTTTATGTGTGTAGAAAGTTTCACTGTTTCCGTGTTTGGACAGTGTCGTACCAAACACATTTTTATTTTTTCAGTGCAAGATGTAGTTTTTACCTGTGTAAAGTTTCATTAGTTCTATGTTCAGTGTTTTCTATATACATGTATATAAGCGCGATTGTCTCTCTCTCTCTGTGGGTCTGTTCCTTATGCACGGCCACATCTTTAAAGCTACAATCTCTTAACTTTGTGCGGGAAGTAACATGGGCTATATGGCCGCAGCCTCAGAGGGCGTTTTGTGGCCGCAAACTGAGGCCAAAGTGACCAATATATCAAGTTTTGGCAAACAAGATGACCAATTGGTTTCAAATTGAAAAGGCCGGATTTTTTATTTTTGGTAATGTAGGATTAAGAGGGCTATTATTTACGTTTCTTCTTAGTGTGAGGACTTCTAATCATTTTATCGATTATCAGTTATGTGTTAAAACTATTTAAAAACTTCGTGGAGCCTTCATTTGTTTTTCTCTTCATAATATCTTCTTTTCTTCTGACAGCAAGACAGAAAATATTGTGTACAAAGTATCTTTTCATTAGATCAATAAATTAGCATGTAAACAAAGAACTAAATCAGTTAAAGTCATTTTCATCCAAGCAATGCCGGGTACTCTGCTAGTATCATATAAAGTCTCGTTCATCGCTAGTCTTTTTCATTGTTTATAAGTTAAGACGGTATTATAGGTTTATAAAGATTCATAGTTTCATTATTTCTATGATTAGACAGTGTTGTTTGTGTATAAAGTTTCATCAAGTTTGTCTATAATTATTCATGATCACCACAGTTCTTTGAAATGTTGTTTGTATAAACGTTGTGCTTTCCGTTATTGGCCAATCATAGTTAAATTCACTCACAGCCTTTGTTTTAGAAACAAAGAACCGCGTTAGGTAATCAAATCTTCCAGTGTTGTTGAAACTATATCTCGTGAACGACATATGTCTTACAGCATTTTTAACAGGCATAAAAATGGGTTAACAGTAAAGGTTCCGACCACATTTTTCAATAAGATGTGGAACTAAATAGTTTCAAACAAACAAATCGTTTTCAGTCATCAAAACAAGTTTGGAAAAAGATATGAATTTTTATGACTCTTAACGATAAAATTTTCGATTTTAGGATATGATCAGAAACACACAAAGAGTTAAGTCTGACACTCCTAAGTTTTTCTTAGGTAAGACATTGAAAGAGATTTTCATATTATCTTAAAAACAAAACAAAAAACGTTTGTGATATGGAAATAGAAAAATATTCAAATATGACTGTATTTACTTGTGTATATACAAGCATGAATGTACGATACTTACTTAGGAACGAAGTTGGCTATATACTGTAGACCTTTATTATCTGCATAATTTGATTCTTTTTTGGAGGTGTGGACTACCAGTGCACAGTTAGGTGAGAAATTTGGGTTCAAGGGTGTCTGCCTGTCCACAAGAAACACGGTATTCGATTGTCCTACTGTCAAGAGGGATGCTACCAGAATTATATACCTAAAAATATATATACGTCAAAATAAAATTGTGTAAAAATAAATACGTAAAATATGTAACACTTTACCTGGAAAATTGAAAGTAACACATTAAACATGTACAGACATGTTTAGAAATAATGGTTTTGTAGCATACTATTTTCGCTGAATTGGAATCTGAGTGCAGCGATCTTTCAAATATTTTATGTGACGGTCTATAAAACGTCTTTTTTTTTAACGTTTAGAGCTATTAATAACTTCTCCATTAACAATTTCCGTGTTCGGTTGGTTGATTTAACACCGTAGTTATTTGGAAGTGCTCTGATCCCTTAGTCGTCGTTTTCCTTGTCACGAGTTATTGTTTCATAGCAACCTGGGGCGAAGACCTCATTCTACAAAAGTAATGTTTTATCTCATATGTGTTATCCGGTTATATTAACACTTTCTTAGTTCATCGTGGAAACACTAAGTAAATGACAAAATAGTAGATGATTATTGCTGGGTGTTACAGTGGTTACAGACGATCTTTACTTAATGTTGCTGTCCACTGTAACACCCAGCAATAATCATCTGTAAGTACAGTAACATTAAGTAAAAGTCGTCTGTAACCACTGTAACACCAGCAATGATCATCTGTAAGCTACAAACGATCTTTACTTAATGTTACTGTACTTACAGATGATTATTGCTGGGTGTTACAGTGGCTACAGACGATCTTTACTTAATGTTTCTGTACCCACAGATGATAATTGCTGTGTGTTACAGTGGCTATAGGTGATATAAATGTAAAGTACTTACAAATAATTATTGCTAGATGCTACATAAGATGGAGACGTGTGTTTCTTGATAATACTACAATGAGCATGTGTTTGTCATAAGACAAAATAAAGCCGTTTTACTTCGTGTATAGTTAACTTTAACCAAACTAGTAAATAATAAATGCTGCTTTACACGTGAGATTATCTTTACTATCTTTTATAGTTAATAATTAATAACCACATTAATTCAAATATTAGAAGCTTCTGATTAAAAAGAAAATTTTCCAGACCTTATTATTATTATATACAAACGGACTAGTAACGACAAATATTAGAAGCTTCTGTTTAGAAAGAAAATTTTCCAGACCTTATTATTATTATATAAAAACTGACTAGTAACGACAAATATTAGAAGCTTCTGTTTACAAAGAAAATTTTCCAGACCTTATTATTATTATATACAAACGGACTAGTAACGACATACTAAACCTTCCAAAGTATTCCCTCATTTTCTTTGGTTTTCCAGAAGAACTAGGTGGAATGATATTGAGATGGTAAAATCACATTTACGGCGACGGAAGCACGAAACTTATACTATCGAGAAAAAAAAGCGAGAGTTTTGTTTGTTTATACTATGTGTTATAGAAAGTGGTGTAGGCTTCCGCCCGTCCTTTCCCTCTAACTGAACTACACTTCTTAAGCTACCTCAAATGCACATTGTCTGTTACACATCCCGATTATCTAGGACAAACAGGTATTGACACATTTTTTTCAGGACTAGGCTTTAAACCTCTAAAGAAACACTGCCGTGTATATATAAAACATATTATGTCATCTTCAACGAATCAACGGCCACAGTTTTTGTTCTAACAGATACTGGAGAGACTTTTTAAACGATACTTTCACAGCTTTAGCTATGTTTTAACTGATACAGAACTGTTAAAACGAACAGTCTTTTATTTTCAACGTTTCATATATAGTCCTTTACTTATCACTAGTAACCTGAAATACTTTAGATATTTGAATAATGCATAACTATACAGTCAAAATAAATTATTCCTAACAGTTAAAACCAACAATATCCTCGACAGTTAAAAACCAACAGTATTCCTAACAGTTAAAGCCAACAATATCCCCGACAGTTAAATTCAACAGTACAATGATGACTTAAGTGATCTTGTCAATTTCTCGTGAGTGCATGTATACCGGTTATGCAAACACTAAAAACAAATAAAACCAATCAAAACTCTAGCGGAGCATACGATGAACGCGACTGAGTTTGCTAAAAATAATACACGCACACACACACACACACAGCGGCCGATGACAACTGTCCTCATCACTTCCTCAGACTATAGCTTGATAATTAAAAATATTTCTTTTTATTAGATATGTGCTGTAACAAGGAAAAATGTAGACATATTTTTTTTCTTCTTTTAGCAAACTGGTTTAGGGGGCATATACGTTTAAGTTACGAAATCACCAAATCTATTTTATGGCCACAATTTCCATACACTGCAGTGATATCATGACATAGGCCATTTCCTTTTTGTTGTTGTTGTTGTTGTTTTTTGTAGTATAAGTGATTACTAAATTTCTACTATTTTCACTACTAACTATTAAACGTAATATGCCGTATTTAATAAAACTACTTCAAATATAACAATGTTTTTTTTTCAAATCTTGTGTCTAATAAGCAATTATTTTATTTAAACAAATCTTTGCTTTTATGATTTTAGAATGTTAAAAATGTCGCTCAGCATTGTACGAAAGTTCATTGTAATGATTTTGTTTAATATATTATTCGAGTTTATTCTAGTGGCACAGCGGTATGTCTGCTGACTTACAACGCTAGAAACCGGGTTTCGATACCCGTGGTGGGCAGAGCACAGATAGCCCATTGTGTAGCTTCATGCTTAACTTCAAACAAATCATTCTAGAGGGTAGTTACTGAAAGAAAAATGTTTGTTGGGTTCAAAATGCTATACTATCTGTTAACTTTGAAAACTTTTATGGGAAACGATCGTGGTTTAACAAGAATTCAAGTTGGAACTTGTTCCTAGGCTGTTCAGAAGGAAAATTACATCGTTCGTTTTTCATGTTTTGTGACACATATGAGTACGAAATACAGGTTATCCAAGGTTTAATGGTTTTGTTTCCTTCTCCGTTCCACGCAGAGGTCGATGTATGTCCTTGCAACGATAATATTGTCTGGAGATCATGTGTGCAATTAATATGCCAAGCACGAGACGAAGAATTTCTCACTCTTGCGAGCAATGCCAAGAATAAGACGAACCAATGATGCACGTATATAGCTCCTCGTACTAGTTCTTAGAGGGGTTGGTTCATCAGGTGGGATATTATTACCATATAACCGGAAGACTTTCTCCACCTTCTCAGACCTGATAACTCCAAAGTAGTCAGTCATTGCCCTGCTTATAATTGATAGGTTTCGGAGTAACTGTTTTGTGAAGTAACTCATACTTCACACGCTACATTCTTTATGTTCTTGAATTGAGTAGTGGGTATTTTCGTTGTTGTTAAAACAGTACAATGTTCATTAGATGTTTTTTGTTGTTTTTTTAAATTATGCACAAAGCTACACAAGGGCTGTCTGTACTCTGCCCACCACGGGTATCGAAACCCGGTTTTTAGCGTTGTAAGTCCGCAGACATGCCGCTGTGCCACTGGGGGGGCTGTTCATGAGATGTAAATATATTTTAAACCCTCTGTTAATTTTTATATCTTTGTAAGAAGGCACATTGTGACTTTTTATATGTATATATATAATAAATTATGTCAACTATGATATATTATACATTAACACACACACACAGGTATATATATGTGGTTCTATGACATATCGAAACGTAGATTTTATCCGTAGACTGGTAAGAAAAAAAGTTGAGTCTAAAGTTCGTTCTGAATTTAACAATTTATTCCTTTTCTTCTGTTTGTTTGTTTGGAATTAAGCACAAAGCTACACAATGGGCTATCTCTGCTTCGCCCACCACGGGTATCGAAACCCGGTTTTTAGCGTTGTAAGTCCGCAGACATACCGCTGTGCCACTGTGGGGGGCTGTTCATTAGATGTAAATATATTTTAAACCCTCTGTTAATTTTTATATCTTTGTAAGAAGGCACATTGTGTCTTTTTATGTGTATATATATATATATATATAATGAATTATGTCAACTATGATATATTATATATTAACACACACACACAGGTATATATATGTACACGTTGTAAGTCCGCAGACATACCGCTGTGCCACCGGGGGGCCCTTTTTTTCTGTAACCATAAGATTGAAATAAAACCCCAACAAAAATTCACAGATTATAAAAAAAACGTGAAATTTCCCAAGACTATGTACACTGTCCGTTTTCAGTAACTTAGATGTTGTACCTTTCAAGATATTTCATTGTATATTATTTGAAGCCTTTTTCTTCACTCCAATTTTTTAAGTAACCATTACCTCAGGAATCTCTAACTATATTTACTGTTTACCTAATGTTAGTGTCGAATCCACTAAATTCCAAGGATTTAATCTGTACATTGGATCCAAGATTCTGATGTGTTGTGACAGAAATATAACTGATGAGAAATTATCCTTCACCAATTTATTCCAGTTCACACAGTAACAGTTCAAGGAATTTGTTAATACAACCAGCGTCTCAACCATTACTATGTCTGTCATAATCCACGCGACCTGAAGAGCCTAATATTTAGATCATATAATTTTTGCATGTAGGCGGCGCTTTAGAAACCGCCCAAACATGAACAAATATGGGGAATTAATAACATTGTAACGTGTATGTTTTAAGTTAAAATTTGCTAGTTCAGGCGATTTAACAACTCTTAACTCACATCTCACGTAACCACCTAATCGGAACGTTTCAGCTATAACCTAGTAAACGAGATCTCTCTCTGCGTGAATCTTAAAAACATACTCTACTTTTACCACTGTTTAACGATTATATATAATTATATATGTATATGTATGTTACACCGAACGTGAAATTGAAAGAAGAATCTGTGACGTAGAAGCCTAATGCTTTGTTTTATTGGTCGTACTCTGTATTGTTGATTGTAGTTTCGCCTACTGACGGGGGCCCGGCATGGCCAGGTGGTTAAGGCACTCGACTCGCAATCTGAGGGTCGCGGGTTC